GATTAGCTATAACTACTCCATCATTAACTCTGAACTCCTTGACATGAAGAAGTAAGGCATAATTTAAGTTCAACCCCTGTATTCAATGGTTATAAGTAAGTTCTCCTCTATTAGATTGAAATGCATATATTTATATAGAATAAGGGCATATTAATTACTTAAGTGGTGGATACTCTATATAGTTTTTTTAGATGTAAGGACGGTGGTTAGATTAAAAAAGCACGTACGCACAACATAACAACTAAAAGTATAAAAAAAATAGGAGCATAAAACTATTTTCATTAGATAAATTTTCAGTCAATAAAACTATATATGTGTGCTCTCTTTATCAGATTTGTATTGAGTTTATGAATAAGAAAAGAAGAGATTTGAATAGAGTTTGGTCATCTTGTTATGTATAGATGGAAAACGTGTGCCACTAATAAGTACACTGTTTTATGTTATTTTATGTTGTTTTTGTGGAAGATCCTCCCATCCAATTATCCAATATCCTCTCTGTATCTATCTCTTTGATGTCCTCCAGTTGGAGAACACAATGCTGGTTTCAACAAATATGATCCTCGGCCAGACATCATGTTCGAGCTATTCTTTAATATTATGAGAAGAGGCTTTGCTGTCTCAAATGTTAGCAGCAGATCTAAAGTGGAAATTCAGATAATTTATTAGTCAAGACATGCACTTTAAAGAAACAATATTTTATGAATTTGGATCCTTTCACTTACCAGTGTTGATAAACATTACAGGTTTGGCAGGATTTATAACCTGCAATGCATCAATCAATAACACCAAGTTAAAATAAAAATGTGAGACTTGCACCGATGATTACAGAAGAGGGTACATTGTCTGGTCGCACCCAAACAAGAGGGCAAGCCTCAAGAAAATGCCTTATTCTCAGGAATAAGTATAAGTGTATAACAAGGGATTCAGTGCAGCTGTTAAGGTTTCCTAGTGGCATTGGCAGTATAAGAATGATGGCTTCATTATATTATGTGTAGAAGAAAATGTGATGTCTACTACTTATAAGAAGAATGTGAACTCCTTGTGAAGCATGGTGTCAAAGTTGGACTAGTCAGTGTTTTGTTCTTGTGTATTATTTATTGTTTTGGGGATGCCCCTATGAATTATGTACTATGTACATTCACATTTATGTGAGAATTTGAGATATAAATAAAAAAATATGATATTATGGTTATTTATTAGTATTATATATATATATATATATATTTTGTGATGTATATATATATATATATATATTGTAATCAATATATATACATTTTCATAGTTCTATGATGTTGAATTGTCATTAAATTTTGTGATGTATTAACGTCACAATGTTTTCTTGATGCATAAATGTCGCTATTTTAGACGATACATTAGTGTCATAATTTGCTGACACAAAACCGTCCCCGCATCAGTGACACTTTATTTAGTGTCACTAGCCGACACTTTCCCCGACACTTTTTTAGTGTCGCAGAAAGTTTCTGTGACACTAAATTAATGTCACTATAAGCCCTTTTTCTACTAGTGCATGAGCATTTTTATTTATTATATCCTTTCAATTAAAATTTAAAATATAGAGTATATAAATTATTAAATATAAATAAATATAAGATTTGTTTAATATGTGTGTAAATATTTATTTATTTGTTTGTTTGTTTATTCATTTATTTATTTATACAAAAATATATTATGGCTCGCGAGCCTACATGTTAAAAGAATTAGAGCTTGAACTCGGCTCAATTATTTAATGAGGCAGCTCGAGTTCAAATTTGACAGAACTCGAATAAGTTTGGATCAAGCGTCTCACGAATAGCTCACGAGTGACTTGACTCGTTTGCACTGCTAATTGAAATGCCTTTTAGAAAAGTAACATGAGGTTAAATCATTGATAATAGTTAGTTAGGACGATGTGTGGCGCCTGATACACAAGTATATTAAGGTGTTATTCTGTTCATCTTACTCTTATTTTATTCAGATCAGATCAGAAAAATTCAGATCAGATCAGATCAGATCAGATCAGAAAGATTCAGATCAGATCAGATCAGAAACATTCAGATCAGATCAGATCAGAATCATTCAGATCAAATCAGATCAGATCAGAAACATTCAGATCACAACATTCATAGCAAATTGGGAACATTCTATTATTATCGATTATTATACTATTATTATTATTATTACTATTATTATTATTACTACTACTATTATTATTACTATTATTACTATTATTACTATTATTATTATTATTACTACTACTACTATTATTTCTATTATTACTATTATTTATTGTTATTATTAGTATTAGTATTGATATTATTCCTATTATTATTAGTATTACTATTATTACTATTATTATTACTATTATTATTATTATTATTATTATTATTATTTTATTATTATTATTAAATATTTATAATTATAATCATAATAGTTATTATTATTAATTTATTATAATTATTATTCATATTATTTATTATTATTATTATTATTATTATTGATATTATCATTAGAATTATTAGTATTAATATTATTATATAGCGGTTTAGAAAGTTAAGATCTGATCAGAAAGATTCAGATTAGATCAGATCAGATCAGAAGCATTCAGATCAGATCAGACCAGACCAGAAAGATTCAGATCATATCATATCAGATCAGAAACATTCAGATCAGATCAGATCAGATCACATCAGATCTTAAAAAATTTAGATCAGAAACATTCAGATCAGACGAAGAGAACAACTTCTAAATCCTCACTATGGCCAAGACCCCTACTATATTTTCTATTGTATTAGTCCTGTTGAGGTTTATTCCTTCAACCCGTAGGCCCAACATACGACCCAAGGGTTTCGAATGGAAGAAGTATCGAAGTAGATGTAGAAACAAGCAAGAAGGGCTCAATAAGAAGTTTTAATACACTGAAAGGGTTACAAAGCCGAGAGGCCGTTCGTACATAGGTATGCTATGAGCTGATATAATTGCTAGAATGCTAGAGTGCAAAGTTGTCAACCCTTTACAATGAAATAAATGCTACTATTTATACCGTAAATGGGCAGTTAGATGTGCTGACGTGGCAGGCTGTGGATGGATCGATCCCAAGCACCAAATCTTTGCAATAAATGTCTTTCCCGCCAAAATCTTGACTTCCCGCCAAGGGGTGGAGACGTTCGTCTCCATGAGCTTGCTTCTTGTTTCTTGCTGGGTCCCAAGTCCTGTGAGACGAGAATCTCGTGCTGCTCTTGGGCCAATGTACTTGTCTACGCTAGAATACGTACGTCCCATGGGTTTGGCCCCGTTGGGGACGAACCTCGCCAGGAAGATGGGGGCTAACCCGTTGTCTTGGACCTTCTGGGGACGTTCGTAGGGTGGGCCTTAAGGGTTTATGGGCCAACCCCCGTTGGGCCATTAACCCAACAACCCCTATTATCTATCCTCTGTTGAATTTTGAATTATCATAAAAACTGGAGTATCTAGATTTTTATCTAAGTCATATTTGAATTTTTGAGAATTTCAAAGTTATTTTTACATGATCTAATTAATGTCCGCTAGTGTGGATGGATCCGATCCGGCTCGTGATAAATGGGCCTAACCACATGGTCATCCCCACGCATAAGAGGGAGGGAAATCTTTGAAAATTTTCAAAATTATCAAAACAATTCAAGAGAATGCTATTTGTACACATCCCTTATACCCCACACTTATACCATCAATGTGAGAAGACTATTTTCTTGTATGTAAACGGAATTCACATACAAAATATGTCTTGTTTTGTCTGTCAAATGAATAAGGGTGGGTATATGGGGTGAGTACAAACAGAGTTTTTCAATATATTTAGTGATCCTTTCTACAACCTGTATCAAATTGGAGCAATAATTTGTTAATACAGAGTAATATATTATTTCCTTCATATTTTAAAGTTTGCTACACTTTTCTTTTTGAGATATATTTAAAAGTTTGTAACATTTTTCTCTTTTTGTAAGTTTTCTCTTTAAATATACTTGATTGTCCTTATTTCATGAATTTTTTATCTTCTCTTTCATACTTGTACACACTCTCTCATTTTTTCTACACTATTCACCATTGAGTTCGTATATCGTACCACTTGCATGGTGTAAACAGTACAACTAGTGGCATTTTTGTAATTGAGATAAAAATCATGGCTTCTGGTAATTGAGCATCAATACACTTTTATTGATAATCAAACCTATTATGTTGAGTATTAGGGGTCTAATATTGAGCATCATGATCGTGCTTCATATTTTCTAATTCATTCTTTTTCTTATTTTTGCTTTTATAAAAATTTGTTAAATCGTATATATGATCAGCTCGTATGAATTCTAATACGCAGGTATAATTTAGCACTATGTATCATACTTTTGAAATATGAATTGATATGTAAATTTTAAACTATGCTAGTTGAGTATCACAACACGTTCATTGAGCATCAACCCTCCTCTATTGCTATTGGAACTCTGCAAATGAGTGTAAAATTTTCAAAATCTACAGAACATCAAAACACACCTTCACTCAGTATCGTGTTCACTAATATTGAACATTAATATTATTCTTTTGAAATATGCATTAATACGAAAATTGTAAACTCTGTTAGGTTAGCCTCAATACATTTCCATTGAACATCGAGCCTCCTATATTGAGCATTAGAAGCATGCATTTGAATATGTTGATATCTATTAAATTAGAAGTAATTCTTAATTTTTATTTATTTTTCTTTCGTAAAAAAATCTCAAAAATATGTATAACCAACTCATATGAATTCCAATATGCGAATCTAATGCAATATTATACTTTTGAAATATGCATTGATATTACACTTTAAAATGAGTATAACATCAGTACCGAATGAGTATACATATCTTACAAAATGAGTACTAAAAATTTCAAAAGCTCTTTCGTAATCTCTAATGTTCTCAAATATTCATGTGTGTATATTTACTTCGTTTAGGCATTATACTCCTTTGAGTTTAACATAAAAGTCATGTCTATAATATACACATGTAATATACGTATTTATTATTAATAACTTATTCGATTCATCATTCTTGAGTCACGCGACAAGGCCGGATGGACGACAATTATATTCTATGCAGCGGCGGCAGCGGCGGCCGGATGGAAGAGAGGAAAGCGATGGCGGAGCTGGACAGTCGGCCTTACAAAACCGGCTATACTTGTGACAAGGACTGCCAAAGTTCCAGAGGTCAGATCTACCGATGTGGTGAGATCCGTGAGAATGGCACAATGCGAGCATCGTGGATTTCAGGTCCATCAACTTTGGCGATGAGGGAAACAGAAAATGGCAGCAGCGAATTTATTCTTGGTGAAGTAGACGATTGGGCAGGCATTCCCAGGGATGGATTTAGGGGGGAGGGGGCGTGGGGGGCGATCGTCCCCCTTGGACTTTTAAAATTTTCCATTATACATGTAAAATTTTCATAAAAATTTTCATACATTAATTACATACATATGTGTTCGCCCCCCTTAACTTTTAGTTTTCAAAATTAATATATAGTCTTACATAATGTAAAACTTAATTGAAGATTTAAAAGAAGAAACGTCTAAAATAATTTACATACTTAAGCAAATAAACAATATAATAGAACAACTCTCATCATTGTTTAAGACTTGGGGTATTTATTATATAAAATTCCTAGTTTTGTAATGTTTAGTTATCTTTATTAGATAATTACTACTTGATTTTGTAAAATATCAAATGGTATTAACTACCAGGCACACTAGTTAAATAGTTTTTAGATCTTGTGAGGTGAATCCAAAATATAAATTTTTGTTTACATTAATTTACACAATTCGTTTACTTGTTACGTTCTACAAACTAATTATTGCATAGATAATAAACTTTAACTTATTTTACCATTAATGCAAATATAATATGCACCATATATATGAATCAACAGCAAATTAATATTATTCTAAAAATAATAATGTCATACATACTGTTGTAATAATAAGAAAACATTTCATGACTCACAAGCACCCCTCTTTGTTAGACAGAAATTGTAATTTAAAAACCAAATCTTTATTCTGATAAAGATTCATGGGGTTAAAGAAGACAAAAGTTATTTAAAAAGTATTGGTGGATGTATACCTTTTAAACTCTTTATCTTCAAATAACTTTCCTTTGGGTTGCTATTTCTTACGATTTAATGTATCAATATTTTTTTAGAGCATTTCAATCATAAAATCAAAGTTATTTTTCCATTGTCTAAACTTAGAATGCAATAATTTTAAATGTCGTTGTGTATGTATTAATAAAAAATATTGAATAAAAAATTGCCGCAAAGCCCTGTATTAGCAAAAAAAATCACCACGCTACACTAACGGAAAAAAATTCTCCACGCTACACTAGTGGAAAAATTTCACCCTCTCCACTCATGAAAAAATTTCGCCCCCTTGACCAGAAATCTAGATCCGTCCCCGTATTCCTACACATTACAATAATACTCAAGGTAATAATGTATCATACTCAAGGTACATCCGCTTGTACCATATAATGCCCTACCCCTTTTAGTTTTGTCCTTAAATAATGTGTCAAAGCTAAATGTAACAATTTTTAAAATACGGAGGGTAAAGGAAACTCAAATGGAGTGCCCACCTTAGTTGAGGAATTGACATAGATTCAATGGACTAAACAAGTTTAGGAAGAAACATATATACATAATTATATTATATACATATTTATATCATTTGAGTTAGAAAATTATCATTTGAGTTGCATTAATTGTGCAATCAGTTAAGCTACCCGATGGGTTAAAAGATATCATTTGAGAAAATTATCTGGAATTTAACATTTTACTTGAATCCAAAGTTCCCTATATCATGAGAATCTTAAGTATGTATGGGATGTCATCTACTCGACTTTAGTGGTTGATTTAGAATTTAGATTTTGGGTGTTTAATTTTTTTACAATTAAAATTTCAAGAATAATACTCCGTAAATAATTACACCAAATTTACACATATATACTTCTACATTTTTTTCTAAATTTTGGACGTTCATATGAATACTTTGACAAGAGTGACTCCGCGGGTGCTTGGACCACTCACTCTTATTAGATTGAGCTTATTTCAATGTTACTTGTCGAGTTCTTATTTGTATCATTAGCCAACATAACAAAATCACAAATTACTAATACGAGCTTGCTTGGTAGTTCGATTTTCATCTTATCAATCAACTTTTTTATCAACAAGGTAACCGTTTGATTTTGCGCGCTGAGTTGCGTAATAATCAAAATAAATAAGGTCAAAATTACTTTTCTGTTGAATTGACAAATGTTGCAGTATATGACAATTTAGACGTTTTATATACTTTTTTGTTGAATTTATATATAAAAATACTCCGTGTATTTTAAATATATATTTTCCCAAAAAACAGCAAATCCAACCCTTTCAACTACAATTTCATCAGATTCAATCGATTTAGTCGATTTTAGTGTTACCACTTACAAATGGCCTATACATATGTTTTTCATTGTTTGAAATTATTCATCACTTTTATAACTCTAGTCGATTAATTACAAATTTTTCAGGGGCGGGTACATTGGAAAATGGGGAGAGAGGAGGCACTAATATTAGTAGTATACACCCTCGCCATGCACGGTGCATGAATTCGTTCCCAAGTTATGTAAGCAACATTTGATGTCAAGACCATGTAACGAATCTACATTAAATATAATTCATCAGAGTAATATGTAAAAAGAGCCTGTAATAATCGACATGTTAGTTTGATGCAATGAAATGATTTCACAATATGGAACACTTCTTTGTAAACAACTTTCGTGGTTTCATCCCTCGTACGATTTTCTTCATTTTGAATGAGGATTTTGACACTTGCGAGGTTTCTAACTCTTGAAAGGGTAACATACAATTGATCATGAATGAAAAAAGTTTTTTCAATAAGAGGTTTACGCAAGTAGACTGTAACACCGACCCCGAGCATATTTACTTTTAGTGGATTATGTAATAAACCTTGAAAGATGATTTATGAATTTGCGTAATTGTAAATTTCATTATTTCTTTTACGTGAGTAGTAAATTGCGTGTGGGGCCCACAGCGGGAACGGGGACCGCCCGATAATTCCCGAACCCCATATTATATTCATCTTGGTCTAGATAATATGTATATGGTGGTGGATATTTTATTTGGGCCATAAGAAAGGCATGGAGTTGACCGGTTGGTCAAACGGGGCCCAATTACCGGTATTGGCAATTCAACGGTTAACAGCCCGAAATGAGTTTCGGAGACTCCTAAATTAATGTTGGGGAATATACATCTATTCTAAAGGCTCATAATTATTAGGAACGCGTGATATATTTTATCCGGCCCGATAAAATAAAATATGACTAAAGTAGTCCGAAAAATATAACTTTCGGGGCCAATTATACACACCGGGATATAATGGGATGACCTCCCACATAAGTGGGGGCCACCCCACGACCCAATGTGCTGCAAATGTCAAGGAAGCAGCTGGGGGGTGTACCTAGTAGTTGGGAAGTCTCCAAGAGACAAAACCCATGACCCATTCCATTGAATAAGTGGGAGGGATTGAGATGAAATGTCCCCCCATCATTTGCATCATCCTCAGCACTCAAATAAGGTAGGAGAGGAGCTCTGGGAAGGCCTCTATCAAAGTTCAAGCTCAGGGAAGCAAGGGGAAAAGATCTAACAAAAAGGAGTTGATTTCAAGGTAAGAACTCTACAAGAAAACTCTTATAACTAGTTTTATCATGAATGATTTATTAAGAAATCATTTGGTGGGCTAAACATGATGTTCTACACGTTTAAAAGTGTAGAATATTGATATAAAGTGGTGATATTTAACTTAGAAGAGTTGGTGGATCGATAGGAGTCGAAATCGCCGGAAACCGCCACATATAGGAGGTTGTTCGTGCTGCAGGAGGACGAACGTCGCCCGGCTTTCACAAAAGCCGCCCGGCTTTCGCTCTATTCCCATATTTTCCACTCTTGAACGGCCTAGAACGAGGACGGATCGAGGGGGTTTCGCTAAGGCAGCTAGTTGAGCACTTCATAAGGTGAGGATGGTTGACTATATTGCTTATAATTAGTGAGTTAATTTCATAAGAATGCCTAAAGTAATTAGATGGGATTTTCATGGATTATTAATGACTAATAATGCCTAAATGAAAATAATATGGAAATGAGTAAGTGAAGCATGATATACAAATTTAGAATAATTGTGTATGATTATGTGAAAGGAATGGAACGGCATGTTAATGGAATTACTATGATGACATCGTGATAAAATATACTTTACTTCATGTATGAAATTCATGAATGGATTAAAGTGGTATTTTTGATATTGAGATCAAACTATACTTGGGTTGAGAAATCAATGGAAATGAAATGCCAATTGGGAAATAGGAACTTGGCATGTTCTAAGATTATCCAATTAGTATCAAAATACTAGTCGGGGAATTAATATAAATAAATGATGAAACAAATCCTAAGAGGTAGGATTGTGAATAGATATGCCTTAAGTAGTCTCAAGAGATACTTAAGGATGAATGGTATGAACACTAAGGTGTGATAGGGGTAGGCCTAAAGGCCACCTACGGGAATTGATTCTAGGCATAGGACTTGCTTGAGAATTTGATTATGAAAATAATTAGAGTTGGACTCTAGGATGACATGGAGATGTAGTTGGGCCGAGCCCATGCCATGTAATATGATGAGCATGGAAACGTAGTTGGGCCGAGCCCTTGCCATGTATATGTGACCTCCGTGGAAACGTAGTTGGGCCGAGCCCTTGCCACGAAGTTATGGTTGGTATGGAAACGTAGTTGGGCCGAGCCCTTGTCATACAAATTTTTATATGATATATTGAGCTAGAGGATTGTATAGAGATGTAGTTGGGCCGAGCCCATGCTATACAATTGGGGCTCGATGGGACCCCACGGGGTTATCGTGACTTGCGGTCACGGGGGAATGGAAACGATGAATTCTAAATGAATATGGGCCTACGGGCCGACTACTTGACTTTATGTAAAGTAAGTACAGTTAAAAGTAAAAAGGGTAACCGAGGGTTATGGCCTATAATATAATAGTACCCTAAGTTGAGGGTCTTGGAAATTAAAACGTTGATTATACTTAGTATAGTTGCTATTGTACTTGTCAAATATTTCCAAGTACTGACCTCCCCTTCACGGGGGAGGCCACCTCACTGTTTCAGGTAGAACTTGAAGGTTGCTACCCTCGCTCGTGGCTTCGGGAGGATCCAGGGGAGAAGACGTGGTTCGTGCTTCTTCCGTTCTGTTTTAAAAACAATTACGTTAATGCTCATGGATATTATTTTTTTTTGAATAATTACTTTGGGGGCTTGTATGCCGAGTTATGCCAAGTGTGGCTTGAACAATTGTGTTTATGCTTCCGCTGTTTTAAATGAATGTTTTACATTATGTTTGTTTATGGATGTACTATGTGTGAATGATATTCATGACGCCTTGCATAGTATGGATGAGTTGGACTACGGTTGACTATTCGTACTGTACGGCGGGTTGTTGACGTGTCCGGCTAGGTCCGGGGCGTGACATAGACAATGACTGACCTTGACTTTTATTGATAGTCATTGTATAAGAAGTCACTATTATGAGAAATAATGAGAAAGATACTCGAATAGGAGCTCTGACATGTATATTAATACTAGGAGAGCTGTGAATACAATGGGAAACAAATATGTCTAAATATATTCTAGGAACAAATATCCTAAAATATATTCATCTATTACACATCCTCAAACTGTGCGGGAGATACAACGCGCAAGTTGTTATTTAAAAATGAAATTGATGACTAGAAAGACTTTTAGTAAAAATGTCAGCCAACTGTAACTGTGCAGGAATATATTTCACGATCAAATCTCCATGTGCAACGCGTTCTCTGACAAAGTGATAGTCAATGTGAATATGTTTGCTACGAGCATGCTGAACAAGATTAGCAGTCAAGTAGGAAACAGAGATGTTGTCACAAAATAACTGAAGAGGAGCCTTGACGGGAAAATCAAGCTCAAATAAAACAGAACGAATAAATAAAATAGAACGAATATGCAAAGTGTCATGTGCAGTGTAAGCAACAACTATGTGCTCTGCCTCTGTAGAAGACTTGGAAACTGTAGGCTGTTTCTTGGCTTTCCCGAAGACCATGTCCGGCCCTAAAAAGACGGCAAATCCAGTCGTGGAGCGAGATGTATCGGGACAACCAGTCCAATCGGCATCAGAATAGGCAATTACACAAGTCGCCTGTGTAGTAGGACGCAACCACAATCCGTGACCTAAGGTCCCCTGCAAAAACCTGAAAAATTCTCTAGACTGCAAAACGATAAGTAGTACGGGGAGCATGCATAAACTGAGCCACTAAATGTACAACATAGGTATTATCAGGTCATGTCAAAGTTAAATTTTGTAACGCACCAACCATACTATGATACTCAGCGACGTCTCTAAGGAGCTCGCCATCAGTGAGAGATAGAGAAGTGTGAGTAGCAAGAGGGGTACGGATGGGCTTAACCGTATGCAAATGGAAACGAGGGAGAAGATCATACACATATTTGTGTTGAGAGAGAAACGAACCTTTGTCAGAACATTTAGCCCGGACTCCAAGAAAATAGTGAAGATCACATAAATCCTTCATAGCAAACTGTTGAGCAACAAGATGAATAAAGGAAGAAACAAGAGAGGGCGAATTGCCAGTAATAATAATGTCATCTACATATAACAATAAATAAATGACACAATTATTCTGACGATATATAAACAAGGAATTATCAGACTTGTTGCACGTAAAATGATGAGACAATAAAAAACTACTGAAATGATGGAACCATGCCCACAGAGTCTGCTTAAGACCATAAATGGGGTTTCGCAATCCACATAAGTGATTAGGAAACAAATGATGAGTAAAACCATGTGATTGACGCATATATACCTCCTCAGTGAGGTGACAATGCAAAAATGCATTTTTAACATCTAACCGATGAATACCCCACACAAAAGAAATAACCAAAGTAAGAACAACTCGAACAGTGGTGGGTTTAATAATTGGACTAAAAATCTCAAAGAAATCTACACCAGGTGATTAAATCCTTGAGCAACTAAATGAGCTTTATGGCGCTCAATAGACCCATCCGAATTGTACTTAGTCTTGTAAATCCACTTAGAGCCTACAACAATGTTAGTATTGTCAAACGGTACTAGTTTCAAAGTATTACTCCCTCCGTCCCAATTTGATTTGAAAAATTTCCTATTTTGGTTGTCCAAAAATGGTTTTCTACTTTCTATTTTAGGTATGTAAATAAGAATAAAATGACAATTTTACCCTTATTTTTACTTTTTCTTCGTTAACTTAAGGCATCTACTTTTAGGAAGATGAGCAAAATTGTAAAAAGCAAACATCATTTATTGTCATTGTTAAATCCTTGTGTCAGTCAAAGTTTGCAATTCAATTCGTGACGGAGGGAGTATTAGAAATCCACTCGTGTACACAAAGCAGTTTTACGTAGCAAGCATTTTTTGGGGAAAAAAGAAAAGATGAGACATTATTATTACAGAGTATTATTATTGGGAAATAAAGAAATACCGGTGGCCATAATTCAACGGGTAGCAAGGGAGTGCCACAAAGATTAGGTCCCGGATTCGAAACCGACAACTGCGATGAAAGGTTACTATGTTAAAAATATATTGAGCCTCTGCAATTACTGAAGACAGAGTCTCACTCTCTATCTGTCAGATCAAGATTATAGTCCCATTTACCTCCTCTCAACATTCAATTGAAGTTGAGGGCCTTTAGAGATGGGGCGTGATCTTTTTTGGAAAAGAAGTAAGAAATGAAATACTCCGTAATATAGGATGTCGGACGATGGATATAGAAAGAAAAGAAATGATGAGTCGAGAAATGGAACAGTAGTAGCGAAAAGAGGAGGCAGTGCGGTTGGGCGCACTAGCAGTAGCACACACATGCGGGTCCCATCAGTATCACTGCCTTCCCCGCTTCATCCTCTGCTTTTCTTGTTCCCCTAGCCCACACTATACTATGCTAGATTCCACACATTTCCCTCTCACTAGCTACTCTGCTTTCCTCTGCTCCTCTTCACCGCACTTATTATTCGCACGTTCTCTTTAATTTCCCCTTTTATTCTTCCATGGAACCCAACCTCGCCTTCCTCGGCGGCGGAGGGGATGCAGAGCTCGAGTTGGGCCTGGGCTTGAGCATTAGGACTGGGCCCAAGCCTGCTCCGTCTCCTTCTGGCAAGGGAGGAGGAGCAGAAGAAGAGTGTGGAAGAATCTTCACTGCGAAAGACTTTCTTAACGGGTTTCATACTGCTAGGCCGAATGCTGCTGCTTTTTCTGGGGCTAAAAGAGCGGCGGAATCTGTGGTTGGACCGCCTTCCACGGCTGTGAACAGGTAAAAGAAGGAACGAACTTCTTCTTCCTTCCTTTTTCTCTAGCTTCTTAGGCTATGTTGGATCTCGGCAGGGGAAGGGGAAGGGAAAAAGTGGTAAATCAAAGAAAGTTTATTTATTTTATGGTTTTTGGATTTACTTTTTTTGAGTTTGTTAGGTAAAAGTAGATTGTTTACTTTTTTCATGTAATACAAATTATAAGTAAACAAAAATGTATTTGAACACGTTTTAAAAATTAGAAATTGCTCTAAATAGGAGCAAAAACGTTTTAATATTCCAAATTAGGATTATCATGTTTTTTTATTCCTTGAATAGGACTAATCTGACAAATTTGAGAAAAAATGTTATTTTTTAATGCCTAATAATGTCAAACTTGACAGAAATTTACTCCTGTTCAAGAAATAAAAAACATTCCTACTCCTATTTTGGAATTTCAAAACTTTTTTACTTTGGGAATTCTCTCTTTAAAAATTATAGGCTTTATTTTCAACAATACCGCTTGGTAGGCAGAGTTTAGTCTTATCTTTTTTTATCATTTTCCAAAATTGTAGTTTTTATCTTTTAAAAATAAGCAAATTTGGAGTTATTTCGAATTGGCTAAACTAAAATATTGTAGCTATATTATTTAAGGTTTTCTTTATTTCATTAACGAAATGGTCCTTCTGTGTTTTATCAACGAAAAAGCAGGTAAGTGAATAATGTAAAAAGTAGAGAAAATGGTGGAAAGGTAAGAAAAGAAAACAAAAAGTTAAAAATGTAAAATTAATTGAATATTTAAAGAAAAATTTACTACAGTAAACAACTTACTACGTATTAAAAAAGAAAGAAGACTGTATCCAAAATTAAAATAATTTCCAAAAAAAGTGTAACAAAAAAAGAATAGGGAAGAAGTGTATTTTTTCATAATTCAATCGGTTAATTTTCACATATAATTTCACTATTTTAGGGAAAACCGTCAAATAGGTCTTCGAACTTTCATAAAAAAGTCAATTAAGTCCTTCTATTGGAGACTCTGTCCGGTCATCGCGATTAGGGGCGGTTCCCACTGGAATTTTTTGATGAAATGTTTTGAGCATCTTATTTATCAAGTCTAGTTTACTCATACCAAATTTCAGCTAAAAATTTAATCGGGAGCGCATTCAAATTAATTCGAGAACGCAAAAATGCGCAGTTATGTTCAAGAATTAATTTGAATATGTTCCTGATTGAATTTTTAGCTGACATTTGGTATTTGGTATGAGTAAACTAGACTTGGTGAATAAGATGCTCAAAAAATTCCACCGATAACTGCCCCAAATCGCGACGACCGGACATAACCTCCTATAGAAGGACTTAATTGATTTTTTTATAAAAGTTCGAGGACCTATTTGACAGTTTTCCCCGCTATTTTACAATAATTTTCTTTCCTAAGCATTTTGAGCATTCCAACGTCCAAACACACCCTAATTATATTGTAAAGGATTGTTTTTTGTAGTTGTTTTTGTATGAATACAATTATTTAACTTTACAATTGTTATTTTGTCAAACTTCAAATCATATCTCTACAGGAATATTTATTTGGCACATCGAAAAGCGGTGTAAATATTTGTAATCGTTTTTGTCGGTGTGAAAGTCAAAAATATGTCTTATACGTCTCCCTCATTCTAGTGTCTTAGCTCTCAAGATTTGTTTCATATAACATTTGTAATCGTTTTTATCTTATGATTGAAATTCACAACTCACAATTATGTGGTTGAAACTCAATTTGTAAGAGTAAAATACGACTGTTAACTACAACATATCATTAAACAATTTGAGACAAATAAAAAAGTGAAGTTAAAAAATAATTGAGAAAGATGAAAGATGTTCTTGTCTTAAAGAAATTGATCCAGATAGGAGTAAAATACCAATAAAATGAACAAATAAGAGTAGTTTTGTTTTGCTTTCAAAATACTCTCTCCACTTCATTGGACTTTGTCAACTTTCACTTTTTGTTTGTCTCAAAAACTTTATAGCTTTTCTTTTAAGGTAATTAATTTGTGGTTTTCGTTATTTCTTTGCCCTCTACTTAAATTTCAACCATACGATTTTTTTACTTATCCTACTCAACACTCAAATCAAACAGGCAATGTCCAATGAGACGGAGAGAATATGACTTATTTAGTTCTACAAGAAGCATAAGACACTCCTAATTAAGAGTGAATAAATCCTATATTAAGAAGAAAACGATGGTGATCTTCTCTTTACCCTTTGTGCCTATGTTTTACTCTTTCTTTTATTATTATTCTCTAAATTTACTCTGTTTTGATCTTTTAAAGTCTGGTCTCATTTGACATTTTCTGTAAAAGTCAAAGAAGTTCAAAGTAAAAATATTCAAAGGTAATTAGGATCTCCAAAGTACCAACAAGGAAGGAGTAATATCTTTTTCATGTAAAACAAAGTGGTTTGTCATAATCCAGTAGTTAAAAGCAAGTTGTAATGGGGGACAAAACTATTCTTGTAGGATGGGTATTTAGAATGCGTCATGATAGAAAGCTAATAAGTGTGAAATTGACAAGAGGCACCTTAAAGTCATGCTAATTAGGATCTTGATTGATTGCTCTATAAGCCTCTAATTTATTTCCTTATCTGGGATTCTTCTCTGATTTTGCTGTCAAAATCCTTGACTGAACTCTCTGGATGGGTCGGACCTGGTGTGTACCGGAAAAGGGGGCTCCCCGCAAAGAAGAAAAAATAAATAAAGATAAGAACTTTTGGTTTTCTTGATGCCTTGATGCATGAAAGGGGGTGTTTACCACCATTTGAAATCACATTCTGTATAAGAAATTTCATTTTCATTTTCATTTACCCCAGTGCCGCAAAGGCTCCCACCTACGGTGGGGTAAGGGGGGTCGGATGTACGCAGTCTTACCCCTGTACTAAAGCACAGAGAGATTGTTTCCGGATGACCCGTAGTGAAAATCCCATCCAAAATTGCATTGACTGACTGCTGCTTCATGACAAAGAAGCGCAAACAGTTTAGTGAGCCATTTTGCTTTATTCCATCATAATCTCAAGCCAAAAAATAATGAATCTTTGGCTCCATTGCAAATGATGGAAAACACATTCTGTATAAGAAATAAAGACATAAAATATTACTAAGATATATTACCAAGATGAAGTTCATCATCATTACCCGGCCCCCACTTACCCCAGTGTCACAAAGGCTCCCGTGGGTAAGGGAGATCGGATGTATCCAGCCTTAAGAGAGGCTTATATCGCTGTACTAAAGCATAGAGAGATTGTTTCTGGATGACTCACAATCAAAATCGCATAACAAAAAGAGACACTGACAATTTAGTAAGACATTTTAATTTTAATTTGCAAATGATGACATTATTACTAAGATGAAGTTAACGGGAAAGAATGAATTTTTTATACTTTAATGATTACAATAGTAAATTTTTTTCATAATTTTATCTTGGAAATATTTAAGGAAAAAACAACTTTCTTCCTTTAAACGGAGTACTATACTGACTTTTAAAAGATTGACATGCTCTATTTTAAATACATTTTATTTTTTAATCTATTTAGAAATCATACTATTAAAAATATGATTAAATTTGTCCCAAATAATACTTCAAGTACGGAGTATATTTTTATTATTTTTACTTATTGTCAATTAATATACTAATGGTTGTATGCTGGAAAATGTGAAATTCAAATTCTTTGAATTAAATATGAATAAAAGTAGTGTTTTTTAATTGGAAGAATTTGCTAAAAGTGCCTTTTAGTAGCCATGACATGATGATGAGTTGTTATTATTAATATCCTCCTCTTAAACTTCTTGCTTTTAGGCAAATCCATGATGATGATGGCAATAGAATTTTCTTTAGCTTTCTCCACCATTCCGTATCCTTTTTCTTTCTAATGATTCATTCTGGCACCCTTTTTCCAATCTAAACCTTGAGCAACTAAAACCCATCTCCACTTCGTAATGATTTATACGTGGCTTAACTTTTACAAAGTATCAATTTTTTATCATTGTTTGCAGTTGAGAAATCCATTAATAGATTGGCTTTATGTGTTCTTTATATACTCATGATGGTGAAGCCATTTTCAGTTTGCAGTATTTTCCACCCCTTAGTTCACCAAATTTAAAAAATGATAGTACTGTTAATTGTTAATTTTTGTTGTACCATAAAATATAAAACTGATATACAAAGCTTTGAACAACTCTCTATTAAATTATCCTTCTTTATGTAATGTGATGGCTTGATATTAATACAGAGTATATGTTATTTGGAGTATATCATTATGCTTTTTATTAGAAATTTTCCTAAAATATTATTAAAATAAAATACGTTGACAAAAATGTAACTAAAATTACTATAACCATACTTTTATACTTTGCGAGATAAAAGTTGAACATAATTATACTCACATTTTTATCAACTATCCTTATTTGTACATATTAGGCATTATTTCTTCTAGTTAAAACAAAAAGTGTCACTGAATTTTTGCTAAAAGTTTCCCTAAAATGTTATTTATTCCTCACATTTTCATATATTGAACCAAACTTCATACTCCGTGTCTTTTTTTTGCAACTCTTCCATTTTCTTTCCTCTCCTTGATCTTCCCTCTATTGAACTGAATAGGGGGTAGATTTTTGTACATGGGTCTGTATTCATGTAGGTCAGCAAGAATGACAGCATATGAATTGCTCTAACTTTTTGTTTTCAGGGGTACCAGTCAGGTGGTGGGATGGCCACCCATTAGGTCCTATAGGATGAATAGCTTGGTCAACCAAGGGAAAGCTCCCAATGCTGAAGATGATATTGTGGGAGTTGCTGGGAATGAGAAGAAGAAGGAAAACTCAATAAATAAAATGAGCAAGGGAAACAACGATGATGATGGTTGTGCTGTCAAAGAAAAGGGAAATATTGGATTTGTGAAGGTGAATATGGATGGATTGCCAATTGGGAGAAAAGTGGATGTGAGTGCTCACACCTGCTATGAATCTTTGGCTGAAATGTTGGAGCAGATGTTCTTCAAGTCCGGAAGTAATGATGCTATGAATGCTTTCCGTAAGTTTCGTTGTCAAGCATGATTATTTAGAACTTGTTTTGTTGGGTTGGTCTCTTTTCAAATGAATATACTGGTCTAACTCGCCTAAAAAGATTAAATTTACCTCATATGCTTATTCTATTAGCCACATATTGGACAACTTAAAAGCTCTCTCAGTTCAAATCGGCGTGTAGAACTAAGGGAATGGATAAATGGGTGAAACATACCCTAAACAAGCTATTCTAAATTATGGGGTGGGAAACAAATAAACAAACCAGTTGTTCCAATATGTGATACTCCTTACTACTACTATATTACATATGGCCTTGCACATTCAAAGGAGCTTGGAAAGTTAAGGACCTTTGGCCATTGTAAAAATTCATTGTAAGACAACTTTGGCAAACTAAATGCATTTTATAGGAAAAGCACTTCCAATTTTAAAAAAGAACTTTTTGGCAAGGAAATGAAAAAAAAAAGCAATTATGTTTCTTAAGAAAAAAGCACTTATGTGCTCATTTAAGAAAGCATCATATTGGAGATTTTGAATGGAACAGAATAACACATTTGTTGCTAAAATAAAAGCAGTTTTGGCATAGTCATCCAAAGAGGCTCTTTACATTTGCCTTGTGTCAATATGCTCTCTCCTTTCATGCTTTAGTGCACTGCTAATTTACTGATCTCTTGCAATATGGTTTAGGCGGGGGGAAGGAGCAAAGAGCGAGGCCATCTAAGCTTTTAGACGGGTCTTCTGAGTTTGCGTTAACATATGAGGATAAAGAAGGAGACTGGATGCTCGTGGGCGATGTCCCCTGGGGGTATGCAACTATTGTTGACATTGTACTAATCACTTTGATTCTTCTTTGCATATGAAATATGTGTGCGTGTGTGAACTGCAAGCACCTTCTTCGAGCTTTTACAAGTTATTTAATTCAAACTCACCAAGTTGTGATTATAGCTCAAATGGTAGGATTTAAAAAGAACAGAAACTATATATAATAATGAGCTCTGTTTTTCTATTTTCAAAATATATTTCTAGCACAAATCTATTGCTTTATCGGGTATGTAATAGAGGTTTTTCTTAAAACATTACTAACAAAAAAGTCAAATAAAAATGTGACTTAATAACTTTTAGTGACCATATTTGTGTTTAAAGTTTACATCAAAGTGTTAAACACAATTATAGTCACTAAAAGATAGTATGTCACATTGTTACCACCACTTTTCCTTTTCAGGGAGTGATATCTGTAAAAGAAAATCTATGTAATAATGGTGTTTTGGCATGTTCCAGGATGTTTCTTAGCACAGTGAAAAGGTTAAGAATCTTGAAGACCTCTGAGGCTAAAGGACTTGGTATGCATCATTTACCAAGATTTTGTGTCTATAATAAAAGTTATCCATAGTATATAAATAAGAGAAAATTCCCTAAATAGGATTAAAACAATGATAAAGTTCGTAAATAAGACCATTAGTGTATTACTCCCAAAATAGGACTCATTCACTCCTATTTTGAGAAGTTGTTTTATTCCACTTATTCTTTTAGTATGACTAAATAAGTCTTATGAGGACTAAAACATATTTAGTCCTATTTTTACATTTTGTGTATGTTTTAGTCTTATATATACGGAAAATATCTATAAATAATCGTTAAACTACTGTTATATTTGCAGCTCCAGGGATCCAGGAAAGGCATGAAAGACGCACCACAAAACCAATCTGAGCTTTATTCTTCCACAAGTCTCATTGTGGTTGCCTTGTTTCCGTTTTCTCTCTTTTCTTTTAAATATTTGCACCTACGTTCCCATTCTTGTATCCGTATAAGCGCAGTTCTTGCTATTTACCCTTATTTTCATTCTCCTTTTCAATGTGTGTCCATGGGTACAAAGTAAAAATAATTAATGTGCTTAATTATCAGATTCAACAAAAGATTCGACAATTTCAAGAAGGAAAGCTAAAATAATAACATTCATTATAAAATTACAAATAGTAAATATTATATTATATATTTACCACATGTGAGGAAATAAATTATAAATAAATGGTTGGACCGGTAATTGAGTTTCCCTTTAGGGGTGCAAGAGTGTGGGTATGCTCAAGTTCCAACTTTGGAAAAAATATTGGCTGAGAAAAATGTTCCATTCTTTTGGATTGAAATTTACTAGTATGTTCTGTACAAGTCTGGTCTAGGACCGAAAACAATTCAAGTAAAAACAACCTAAATGATTTCGTTTCTATTTTAGAAAACAATTAACACTCTTAAATGAAAATTTGATAATTAAATACGAAATATTAGATATAATACATTTATGAGATTAAAGTTATCATCAATGATCTAATTATATTATATACTCATAAATATTATCTTTCAAAATATATTATAATAACCATTATTTCATTATTATCTAAATAATTGTGTCGTTCATTGCAAAATTTGAGTTGGACTTGGGATGGATGTACTAATATTTTTGGCTTGAGTTTGGATTTCTAGCTTGGGTTTTTGCTCCGTTGTTTATTTTTTGTTTGATACCATACATCATGTATACTTTAATGAAATTTCGGGTAAGGAGTAGGGATGATAATTGTTACCGAATCGATAGATACCTGCAGGCTGCATCGAACCGCCCCGGTCAAAATGGGGAAAATCGCATTGACCAGGTAACGGGTATGAGGCGTGAAATACCCGTTTTGTTTTTACGTGTAACGGAGATGTTACGGTTTTATACATGCCCGCGGGGCTGTTAACGAGCCGAGCCGAGCCGGAACATCCAAATCTCGAGTTCGGCTCGATAAGGAATTAGTGGTGTTCGGGTTCGAGCTCGAAGCTCGATGAGCTTTACAAATGAGGCTCGTGTTCGGCTCGATAGGTGTTCGATGTTCGAACCGCGCGAGTGCTCGATAAGCTCAATAAATATGCTCGAATTTAAAATTTTAGGTGATGCTCGTTAATAGGCTCGTGCTCGAATGATTCGACAAGTATTCGGTTCATTAGTAATCATATTTAAATTCATAAAATCATACTAATTATATTTAAATTTTAATATATATAAATTATATTTATAATTTCAGGTGTTCGATAGGCTCGAGTTCGAACCAAGCCGAATACTACTATGTTCGAGCTCAGTTCGATTAAGTTTTCGAACTTAAAACTCAGTTCGGGTTCGAGTTCGAAAGCTCGTTAAGCTCGGCTCGTTAGGTTCGAAACCGATCTCTCACTCGAATAGTTCGATAAAAGCTCGGTTCGTTAACAGCCCTATGCTCGCCCCATTACCCGTCTCGTTCCCGCCCCATTTATTTTTGACTGTATTTTTATTACATTTTAGTATCATTTGTCCCACAATTACTAAAAGATGAGATTTTTTTCATTGTGTATATATGAATAATAGATGTGCTAACTATAGTGTGAATGAGAGTTCATAATACTCCCTACGTCCCACTATTATTGTCTCAGTTCTTATTCACTTGATCATACACAAACCACTCTTAATCTTTTACTATATATATATATATATATATATATATATAATATTTTTTTTCAAATTTGATTCTGATTTTCGCGACTTTGTGAAACATTTAATGTAGTATCTAAATATGTAATTTTTTTTGTAAAAATAATTTGAGTGCGGACAGAGATCTGTTTGCTTTATCGTCGGTCAAACATCGTAAACTGCAACGGAACCATAATAATGGGACGGAGGGAGTAGATCTTAATAGTCTTGTTTAATTAATATCGGGGTTTTTTGTGATTAATTAGTTTTCATATTAAGGATTTTTAGGTTCAAATTAATTTAGGTTGTGTTCCTTCTCGTCTTATAAATATACAAAAGTTTAAAGTCACGTATGAGTTTAGAGTCGTCTAGGTGATGCCATTTTTTGCCTTTTAAAATATTATTTTTATATTAAATATCAATGATTCATTTAATAAAGCGATTAACCGCGGTTACCTGTGGTTATACTGTTACCCGTAGGGGCGGTTATGGTTTGGGTAAAAAAATCCATTGGGTAATGGGATGGTTACGGGGAGGCGGAATTACCCAACAGGGCGGGTACGGTTATATGTAAAATCGTCCCCGATCCGCCCCGTTGCCATCCCTACTGATGGTGTTTAATCCAACTACGAGAGTTTAATCTACGAGAGCAGATGCAATTTGGGCAGCGTAATGCATTATTATTATTCCAGAATTTGGATCCTTGGTGGGATTTGTACAAGAAGTATTTATAGACCTTAGGTCAACTTGGGTTTTGTTTTAATTCAATCTTGGGGAATGATTGTGATCCATGGTACCATCACGAGTCCCCCTACTCTCTAAAACCAGTCGGGCTCTATTTTAGGAGAGTAGTAAGATTTTGAATTTTGAATTTTCCATTTGTGGCGTCGCTTCGTATTAAATGCGAGTGGCACGTGCCTGGCTTCACAACTTCCCACTCCGCCGTCCCATCTTTAGCACTCGAGTGCCTTGGTAGCGGTTCTAGAGCGGTTTGAGGGGCGTTGGGGTTCACACTATAAAAGGTACATTCTCTTCTTCGTGCAAACCTTCTGATAGTCTGCGTTCTTCAAACCCTAGGCGATAAAGCTTCCTCTGCCGTTTCAACCTTTCTTTTCTGGTCAGTTCACCCATATCTTCTTGCAGTTCCGTTCCTCTTCATAATGTTTTCCCCGATGATGGGGCTAGCTCCAACTGGCCTGAAATCCCGGTGGACTCTCGGGGGCTAGAAACTCATTTTTATCTTTCTGCCGATTTTGCTCGCGCGGTATTGGTTGTTGCCATCTCCGATTCCGAATTCAATGAGGCGGCGACCCTTGTCGGGCCCAACGTCATCTGTTCTAGCGTTACCCGGAGTAGGACATTGTAGAGCCCCCTTCCCTCCTTCACTTTGGGGTCCATCTGTCCAATCTCGAAATGGGCCTCCGTTTTCCCCTCCACCATGCTCTTCTGCACGTTATGGTCCACTACGGGGTCATCCCCGGTCAACTCACCCTACCACACATTTGTTCATCGCCGAGTTCGTAACTTGATGCCTTTCTCTCAAGATCAGGCCAACTCTATATCTGTTCTTGACATTCTTCCACTCGGTTCGGTCTAACACCTCAGCTCCAAGACTCAGGGATTCTTCTCAATCTCTCAAAGGGCAGACCATCGCTTGTTCGTGGCCAAGTCCCACCCTAATTCTTTCAAGAGTTGGAGGTACAAGTGGGTGTGGATGACTCCGGTGGATGGCAAGATTCAGTTTGACGATAAGTGGGGGTGGGGAGCTAATCCGGCGGTGGACCATGCCCATCTTGAATGAGGGGAACGAGTATGCTGTCAAATTCATCGTTGAGGGTTCGCCTTTTTGATGGGTCATTATGCATGTGAGGATGGGGTAGTTATGCTTGAGTTTTCGTTGTCGGGCCGGATACGCCTGATTTTGTAATTGCACTTTTTCTTTACTTTGGTAATTGAATCTAACTGTGTATTGTTGTTTGTTTAGAGGGCGAGAAGATGGCGTCTAGGATTGAGCGGCTGGCTGCAAAGGTTGGTTCGACCCCGGGTCCCCTGGTTTCGGCCTAGAGGGTTCAAACCCGGGGTGCTATTGAAGCCGCTCCAGAGAAGCCTAGCGGGTCCAGACACGAAGATGGCGCTACGACTCTTGCAAAGCCGGGTGCAGACCTCCGGCCTCCCGTGACTAAGGGGGTTGGGAAGAGGCTGACATCCCAACCCATTTCTGTGCACAAGCGGAAAAAGTCTCGAGCTGTTAAGAATCCCTCCGTAGCTATTGTTGATGTCGAGTCTAATTTTGAGAGTCAGTCTTTAGAAGGTAGCAGTCGGGGGATGCCTCGACACCTCTCCATAAGGTTCGTTTGACTATACGCTCCAGCTCTACTTCTATGTTCCACCAAACGATCAATCCAGTCTCCTTAGCTCTGGATTTTACTCCTCCCGCTGACGCGGAGGAGCTTGGCAATCTCTCCCCCAGGTCAGCTCTCCGGCGTGCAGTTCATGCCATCTCTGAGGTAATATTCTTTCTTTGTTCAGTTGCCGTCTTTTGATTTCCTACTATAGCCATCGTACTCAATTTTCGCTGCTTATGATCTCATGCTTTTGTCTTTGCTGCCTCCAGCTCTCGTCGTCTGGATGGGGAGAAAGAAGAGGTTCAGGGCCAGGCTGACCAACATAAGAAGGTCGTGGCAGACCTAGAGGCCGCCAGAGATGCCGCAGTGAGAGAGGCTGGGGAGCTACCGAAGGAGCTGGATGATGTTGTTGTCGCCCATAGGGCCATTGAGGATGTAACACTTGATATTAATTTAAAAGGATTAATACTACTACTCATACCAACAGAGGTGCATCTCCTTTTAAGGGAGCTCATCACCCAAGAACTCCAAAGTTAAGTGTGTTTGCACGAGAGTAGTCTTGGGATGGGTGACCCCCTGGGAAGTTTCTCAGGGTGCGCACGAGTGAGGACAAAGTGTGCGGTAAAGGCTCGTGGTGGTTTGTGAGGACAGTACTAGAGGCCTAAAGGGTGTGAGGAGTAACTACCTCAGGCCCTACGGGGTCAGGGTGTCACAGAGGAGGCATGGAGATCCAAGGAGGAGGAGCTGAAGAAGAAGGCGGAGGAGGCTGGCCCTGTTGTTGTTCAGGTCTTTCGGTACAGTGAGGCCTTCCGGTAGGAGGTGGAGCAGGTGATAGCGGATCACTGGGATAAGATAGCCCTGGAATGGCTGTCAACTTGTGAGGGGGAGTCAAAGTTGGATGAGAAGGGGGCATTGTGCTTCCAGCTAGGCAAATTTGATATGCAGTAGTCCATCTTTGAAGCCTTGCTGAGAAGAGACCCCTCCTTCACTGTTCCATCTTGGGGTTTGCCTGAGTTGATGGCCAATCTCTAAGCCCCCCAGGACGGCCCTGCCTCGGAAGCTCCTCCTTCTCCTGTTGGTAATTAAACTTGATCCTCGAACATCTTTAAACATTTAACAAA